CTTCTTCCCTGCTTCGCTTCGTTCTGTTTCGAATTCGTTATGTTCGTGTCATATGTTTGTGTTGGTTTCGTCTCCCCCTCACCCTCACCCTTGTCTTTGCTGTTGTTGCTGTCACAGCAGCTTTCAAGCGATAGAGCTTTCTGCTGCTGCTTCCCTCTCAGAGAGCATAACTGTTCTCAGCAGAAGCTTATCAGAGCAGAGAGAATGGCCGGTATTATTTAGTTGTGAACGATCGTGGAAGTGTATCAAACTCTTCGGCTTGTTAAATGTGTTAGGTATGTTAGTATTTTTGTGAAACTTAATAAAACATTATGGTGTTGTTGTTGTAGTAGTTGCTAGCATTTTCAGTACAGTTTTTGCAAGCTGGAAAACAACGAGAGAGAACAATAGCGATGACGGTGCTAGCAACATTGTTTACATTTCATATTAATATTATCATTGGCTACAAAAACAGCAAAAGCAACAACTAAAACAACAAGAAGAGCAGTGGCAGCAATAAAAATAACAGGCGATTCTGTTGTTGTTGCTGCCTGTGTGTTTGCTATTGCTTCTCCAAGTTCTTTCCGCTTTAGCCAGCGCCGCTGTCAAAAACTAGAAAGCTTTGCTTTGCTTTGCCAGTTTCACTGATAAGAGCTGCAACAACAGCAAAAGCAATAACAGCATGTACTTTTTTGTGTTGTAACGCCGTAGAAAAACATGTTGGGCAAATGCAGCACTTGGATTTGGCTGTGTGCGAATACGATTTCCATTTGCTTGGCCGTGTTTTTATTCGCAATGCAGCCGCTTAGCCTGCTCAGCCGCAGCCAGCTGCGACCGCGACGCCACCGACTACCTGTTTCGATTCTAATCGAAGCCCACTCATTCGGTTTGTTTTTTTAAGCGCACTCTCCCTCCTCTCTCTCTCTCTCTCTGTTTCCCACTCTCCCCTGCTCTGAGTGATTGACTAACAGTTTTCCCGCCACTTTCAGCACCTTGCGGCGCCTAAGCCCAACCACCAGTTTTGTACAGAAACAACGTGCGCACAGTGGGATGAATGACTATGGAGACGATTGAAATAAAAGTGATGAAAGCAGCACAGTGGGATGAAAGCATTAGTGGCACTGGAGCATAATGAGGAATAATTCAACATCTATGGAATGTAAATATGTAAGTGTTTGCTCCACTGTGTGGTGGGTGTGAGATATTGTTCTGTTGTTTTGCCAGAAGTGAGGTGATAAAGTGATAAATGAGTGGACGGGGGACTGGAAGACTAGGAGGAGCGGGCCAACAGCACAAAACTAACAGTGCCATAACAATATTTATTGTACTATTACGTATATTTAACATAAACATACATTTCCATGCACGTGTGTTTGTGTGAGTAATTGTACTCTGAGAAATGTTTATATATCCCCGGCCAGAGCCCCCCTCTCTCTGTTGCGCTCGCTCTCTTTCTTTCTCTCTCTGTCTATCTTTCTTGGCTCCATGGCCCAGTGACAGCAACAGCAACAGCAAGCAATAGATAGAACAACAGCAGCAACAAAAGCAGCAGCAGGAAAAGCAGAGCAGCAACAAAAGACACACACAGAAACACAAGTAGATACGAAGAACCACACACACACACAAACACATATGTAGATATAGACAAAAAGGAGATTTCACTTGGTTTTTTGCATTCGTTGTTCGATTGTTCATTAAATGTTTTTGTTATACCTTTTGTTGTTTTTGTCTCTTTGCAGGAATTTGATGCGACAAACGTTCTGTTTTCCAAAAGTCGGATTTCAAATTTCGCCAGGCACACGAAAAAACGGCGCCAAAAAACTATTTTGTTGCTCCCGCGACTGCGACCGAGCCGCAACAACAGCAACGGGAACGAACAGATTCAAGATTCAAGTCGATTCGCGACTGACGTAACGTACAAAAATGTTGAGTTTGAAATTTGTACGCTCGGGCGCGCTGCTCCACGGCGGCGACGGTGGCAGTAGTCGGTTGTGTCGATGTCGTATGTTTCACGTCGAAAAGCGACTAAAACACACAGATACTCGAGCGGCGGGCCATGGGCGAAAAGTATCTATCGGCAACGTAGAACACACAGAGGCAACAACAACAAAGCGAACGGCAAACGAGCGGCGAGCAAACAGAGAACAACAACGCACAAAAACCCTGCTCTCTGTCGCACACACACAGCCACAAATATATACCTACACACACTAGCAACTGTACACGCAGAGGAGCAGGCAACTGTTTTTATTGTTGCTTTCGCTGCTGACGAACAACAAATAATACAAACAATGGACACAGACGCACACACAAACAGCGAGAGAGACCCACACACACACACCAAGGCAGAGAAACGGCAACTGCGCGATACAAAATGCTAAGAAACAGTGAGACAACAAGGCAGCAGAACGGCAGGAGAGCAACAGGGTGAGGAGAGGCGAAAAACAGCAAAGACTAACAAAAATTGATGCACAGTGGGCAAGAACCGTGTCGGAATGGACAATAGACAGAGAGAGATGAAACCACATCTGCCCGAAATGATCACAGATGGATCTTGCAGAGAGTGCAACCAGCAGGTGAGTTTGCATTTACCGTTTACTGTATTTCAATCACTTCGTAATCCCTGTCACAAAATCTGTGTGTTTACCTGCTAACACGGCCCAGTGTACGTGCGCCTTCGTCTCTCGCACGTTTTTGGCTCTCTCTCTCTCTCTCTCTCTCTCTCGCAAGCTTTCCAGCCAATTGTTGTTTACATTTTCTCTAAGCAACAATTTTTGAAATTTGAACAATTGAAAACGTTGCCGCCAGATGGCGACTGTCACATCCGTTTCAACGGTTTGAAACGGAATCAATCTCAAGATCGCTAAATATATTAAATTATCAATTAGAAAAAAGTCCGTTTTTATCTGTCTAGAAATTTAGAAAAGGCTTTAGGTGTCTGTCTGAAGAGCAACCCGTTACACACCTCCATTCCGATTATTTTTTACTGCCATCTTTAGTAATCTAAACAACAAAAGCTTTGCGAAAGCTCAGGGGCTGCCAGCCACCCCGCAGCTGCGGGTATGGGATAGAATTCCGGGCACTAATGATTTGTTTACAACTTTGTTGCCCTGCAATTTACCGCAAGCACACTTCTCCGCTTTGCCTGTCATCCCTCTCTCTTTTCCCACTCTTTTCTCTCTGGCGGCCCTTTTCCAATGGAGCTTTTAGGGGCTGTGTCATACTTTACGCTCAAAAATTCGATAAAAAGGAGGCTCGTTTCTGTTTTGGCCTATATGCGACATGCCACATGCCAAACGGTGCGTCCAGCCCCGAGTCCGAATGCGAACCCGAACCATAAGCCGAATACAAAGCCGAGGGAAACTTGGTCACCAGCGCGAGAGCTTCCAAGTGCAGCAACGCTGCGCTGCGCTGCCACACTGCTTCACTGCTACAAGCTTGCCTCAGTTGCCAGTTGCCACAGGACGGTGGAGACGAGTTGTTGTTTATCATTGGAGGCAGGCGTCCGTGCACCGTGTATAGCCAGAGTCTTGTTTTGGTAACGCGGTTGCCGTAGTGTTGGTGAACGAGTATTCGTCCGCGTCCTCGTCCTCTACGCGTGTGTGTGCCCTCTGTTCTGTGTCCTGTGTGTGCGCTTAAAAATATTTCCCATCAATTATTTACCCAAAACGGCAGCTGGAAACTTTTAAATGGAACACAGGAAGACTCGCACAGGCAGGAATACGAAAAGTGAAGTTAAATAATCAAAACGAAACTCTGACGCGGACTCCGACTCGGTGCTAGGGGAGCAGATTGGGGCAGCTTGCAGTGGACTCAAGGATGCCAGCGGAGGATGCAGACTCGATTGGATGCATTTCTGAAGCGCAGTAGGTAGGCGCCTTTTCTCCTTCTTCTTTGTGGCTCTCTCTTTCTGTGTTTCTCTCTGTTTTCAGCAACCCTCTTTCTCTCTCTCTCTCTCTCTCTCTCTCTGAGTGGCTCTCTCTCCCGCACTCTCTCTCTCTGTTAGCGTGTGTAGAGTTTCGATTTCGTTAGAAAATCGAAACAAAAACTGGCAAGGGCTCGAGGTTTGTGGGTGTCGTTGCTGCGGCTACCTGTAGATGCCACAAACACACAGATACACGATACACACAGAAACAGTTGTATCCTTCTGCCAGTTCGTGTGAGTGGCGAGTCCTTGAACACGGTTTATTGCCGTTTCACCATTCGCTGCTCCCGTATCCGTCTCTCACCAACATCTCTCTGCCCTCTCCGCGTCCGTGTCCGCATCCGACTCTCGACTGCCCGTTTCCGACTCTAATTAATTTATAATTCAAGGTCCACTGAGCCTCCACTGAAGGTTAAATATGACGACGACGAACTGGCTTATGTTTGATTGTGGGAGGTGGAGGTGGTCTCCCCTCTACAGGAGGAAGAGCATACTTCTCGAACACTCTGGCATACGCCAAATGCAGAAGCGCGGGTGGGCATGGAGCGCTGTAAAGTTTGAAAACCCCCACCTCTGACATTAGGCAGAGATAATTGAAGGAATTTCATGGCGAAGCAAAGCAAGGACAAAGTTATCCCAAGAATTCGGCGGCAGGGGCCGTGATTCCTGTAGTCGCGAGTCTCGTTTGTGCCAAAGTTTTTGGCCGATTACGTTCTTTGGCAGATTTTGCAATCAGTAAGCCCGCTGTAGTTGTTGTTGCTATGGATTAAAATTGTTGCAAGGGGGATAAACCGCATTACGCATACGCCGCATTGGCCCTGTGACGTGGTCTGGCAACATTGGGGGCAAGAATCACCAGAAACAAAAAACGGCAAAAAGCTTTCTTTCTTCTGCTGACTGCTGACCTGGTCGTTGTGCCTGGCCTGCCTCTTTCCTCTCAATGCTTCTCGCAGTCTCTCCACAATGGATTGCAGCAGCAGCAGCAGCAGAGAGCGCCGTCCATCCGTTCTTCTTTCTTTAGCCGAAAAAACACACTTTTTCGTCTGAGTAGAAAAATGTTCAATGATTTTCCGCTTAGTGTGAAACGAACCAACAACTAAAACGAAACGAACGCGCGCGCTCGTCGCACAAAATAGAAATATTTTCAAAAAGCGGGCGCACAGAAATTAACCTACCCAACACCCCTGCCACCTGCCACCTGTCCGTAGCAAGAGCGATACTCCTGATATCGAGCGGGGCCATAAAATCTTAACTATAAAATAAACAATCGAATCGACGAAACAACAAAAGTTAAACGCGAGATACATATTCATAGATATAGATTCGTATCTGTGGGAATTATTATTATTATTATTGCAATTGAATTGGGGATTGGATGCACTGAGATTGAGATTGAAATCGAGCGAACGACAGAATAAAACGGAACGGAACGGAACCGAAGAGTAGAACCGAAACGGAGACAAAGAATCCACAAGTAGCTGGCATCGCAACGCGGGGCAGGCATAGACCGAAAGATAAATAACCAAACAGATCGGATAATTGCTCTTTGCTAGTTCACGCTCTAAAAATAAACTCGAACAATTCTCGGAGACAACTGCAGTGCATCCATCGCCTCACTCATAGGTTTACCAGGAAGTAGCAAAAGAAGAGCCCCGCCCTTGGAGCCCTGAGGATCCGCGTGAGTAGAGAACCCTTGGGTCTGTCTGTCTGTCTGTCTCCCCATTGTCCTTGACCCATCTTGATCGGCTTAGGGAAAAATCGAAATAACAAACTATACGCTCCCCGTAGTCTGTGCGTCACATTTACAGAGCGAGAGAGAGAGAGGGAGAGACTGGTGTGGCATGGAGTGGAGTGTCGTGTTGAGTGTCGTGTGGCGTGTGCCCTTGCCTTGTTGGTTGGTTGGTTGGTGTGTCTCTGTCCTCTCCGCACACACTAATTCGTCATTTTTCGTGTTGTTACTGTTGTTGGTACCACACGGCGGATGGTGGATGGTGGATAGATGGGATGAGTAGATGGATGTGATGAGTGGTGTTCACTTTTTATAGCCAGCAACAGTCACACACAAGCCAAACAAATGAAGCGCTCCTCTCGTCTCCTCTCCTCGCAGTCACTCCTCCTCTGTCTGTGTGTGTGTGTCGACCGACACTGCTTATGTCAATTTGAATTTTGCATGCGGCCGCTAAACGCTGAATGTGTTGACTGTGTATCAGTGTGTGTACCGGAAGACAGCGCAAACTGCGCTTCATTGCAACTTTGTGTGCGGCTGTGTGGCAGAATGTGAATGTGCCACGAAGGAGTACTCAAAGACGAGTGAGAGACAGAGCGGAGCAGAGCAGAGCAGAACGATGGCACTTGTCAGAGCGGAAACGGATATCCCGTGTGCTCTTTGCCTAGTACGTCTTTCGCCTCTGTGCGCGCCTCCTGTTTGTCATTCCTTTTCGTCAGAGCCAGAGCTAGAGCCAGAAGCAGAAGCATGTCCCCTTGTGTCCTTGCATTTGCAGCACAGGAAATTTTAAATTGAATGTGCAACTCCCCTGTTCCGCTGCCCTGTGTCTTGTCTTTGTATTTTTTATTCCTTTGGCTTCAGCTGTAGCTAGAGCCAGAGCTCTAGCTGTTGCTCCTGTTGTTTATTCTGCCTGTCCCTTGTCTCATGTCTCAACGCTGTTCTGTTTGCCTTCCATTGCTTGGCCGTTGGGCTAGATTTGTTGGTTTAGAGCTGCCAGAGTGTGTCCAGAGATTGGTGTTTCCTTTCGAACTGGCATTAGTTGGAAAATGGCACATTTTGTGGACAGACACAGCAAAAGTATTCCAAGTTACTGCTCCTCCATTCCTGTTGCATTTCCATTTGCATTTCCATTTCGTGTCTTGTGCTTTTCCCCCGTCTTTTATTTGCTTGCTGCGTGGCACAACATGCATATTTTCCTCTTAGATTTATGTGCCTCTGTGTGGCACACGCAGAACATGGCTTATGTAAGAGCTCCCAGGAGTAACCCAATTTCCTCTGCTGCTGTCATTTCTGCTTAAACAAATTTCGACATGGCCTCCCGTTGCACATCCGCTGGCCTCGATTGGAGGAGCCCTCCGAATCGGGGCGAATCGGTGTCACCGCTCAGCAGGAGGCCAAGCAGCCGCAGCCGCAGGCCCAGCCCCAAAGCACTGCCACTCGACCGACCCCCCTTTACCGATGAGATGAGATCAGGCGATGAGATGCACGGGCCGAAAAGTATCTCTTGGGAGCGCGTATCTGTGCCAAAGTGTTGGCCTAACTGTCGGCTGTCGGCTTGGTCCCTTTAGCTTTTACTGTTATTGTTGTAATCGTGTAGCACACACACTTTACATGCTACAAGCCACATGCCACATGCCACATGCAAGAATTATCCCATAAACACTTAACGTCGATGCTGCTGATGTCGATTTCGCTTGGCTTTGGCTTTAGCTTTGTCTTTGTCGGCTTTCGGGCTTATCGCACCCATCCGGCAGAGAGGTTGAGGCGGCCCTCCCACTACTAAATATCCATCTTTGTGCTCGTGTGTGTCCTGTCTGTGTCCTGCCTGTCTGTGTGTGTGTGTGTGTGTGTGTGTGTGGGGTATTTGGGTTCACTTGAAGCTGCCTCCTCAAGTTGTTGTAGCTCGATGTTCTCGTTATTCTTATTATGCTTCCACCTCTCTATCGTCTCTTGCCACATGCCACCCATAACTGTTATTTGCATAAGTGTGCATATGCACATGTGTGTGTGTGTGGGGCTTTCAAACCTTTTTTATTTGAAACAACAATAAAAAACACTCACACAAAGCCACAGACAAAGAGAAAGCAAGAGAGGGAGAGAGAGAGAGAGAGAGAGAGTCCCCACACACAAACACACACACACACACATGCAAGTGCATGAATATTTCATTATATATATATCGGATTTCTCAGAGCTTTGCATTCCACCCCCTCTCGCCGCAGCATGTCCCCTTCTCTCTGCTCTCTCTCCTCTGCAAGTGTCTGCAGTTTGCCCCGATTTCAAGTGGAATCGGTATTGGAACACTTGACGTTTGTGTGGTAATTAGGGGGGGATGGGATGGAGGGGGTATTCCAATTCCATGAAAGAGGATTACGTGTCATAGAAAAACGTTTGTTCTAGACCCGATTTGATCTCCTTCGCATCATAATTATTCCACCCATTATAAGAGGCGAGGAACCGCAGGCTCGCAGGCTCGCAGGCTCGCAGGCTCCCTTCCTACCTTCCATCATCAAGGGTCATCAATCAAGCGGCCCAGAGGTTGTGCGTGTGCATCATTTGCGTATCAGTGTGTCCCCGAAGAGTGTGCAAGCAATTTGCCAACGGGAAGGAGGAGGCCCAGTACAGTGTCTGTTTGTCTGTCGATTGTTTTCGGCTCAAGGAAATGTTTCCACAGTTTCAATTTCCCTCGTTTGTCAAAGTTCTCGTGAGGCCAGGGACAAGAGGCGATGAGTGATTCATGGGAGTACTATTTTTTGTGAAGGCAACTTCCGCCTTTCTGCCATTCCATCTGATGATCTGTGGACAGCGGCCAGCAGCCGGCACTGGCTTCCATAAAATTCCGAGAAGAAAACAAATTAAAAGTCCACGAAACGAACGGAGAAGCCATCCTAAAGATTGGAATTCGACAAAAACAAGAGCCCCCACAACAACCACGAATATGCAGATATGCTGGACAATCAAAACCGAATTAAAAGAGGAATTTTATATGCATCAATTTGGCAGCGGATGGATTGGATTGCTTTTGAATGAGCCCTCTGTACCTCTGCACTTCTAGCCAAGAGCAAGCAAACATTTTTGACAAATGAATCAGGTTGCCTTTTCTTGGGTATTCAAATTGTTTTGCGGTCAGAAAGAGGCCTGCAGACTTATTTGTATTTATTATAGAAACCCCCGAACAAGCGACAGGCGGCAGCCAGACCATGGTCAGCCGCAGGCAACGTCTGTCTCTCAGATGGTAGACCCCGATCCCACCCCGGTTGCCACCCGCACATCTTCTATGTACAATAATTTAGTGCACGGCCTGCATTGGGGCATTGGGTTAGCCAAACCCAGGGACGGGACGGGACGGGGCCGAGTGCGTGTTGACCAGGCTCGGGGGCGAGCAGCGAGCGATTGCGTGGGGCGACCATCGTCCCGTTGCGTGTGTATAAAACAATAGGAATGGAAATGGAAATTGGGAGGAAAACGAAAGCAAAAAAAGAGGGCAAGAAAGTCGGAATACTCTTTCCCTTTCGCTTTCACTTTTTCCTGGGAATTCCCAACGTTTTCCCTGGCCAAGCGGTAGGGTATGGGTGGTGTGCCGTGTGCTTGCTTTATATTTTTTTTGTATTTACTTGTTTGTCTTTTAATTTGGAAATTGTATGGCCTGTTTACTTGAGCGCACTTCCCTGCTCCCTGCTCCTGAACGGTCCTCGGGTCTCTGGATTACGCCTGTGTGTGTGTGTGTGTGTTTGTGTTTGTGTGTACCCCGGTTAATGGCCTGTGACGTGTACAGAGCAGCAGAGGGAACCAAGGGTACCCCATCAGGGGGTTTCCTCTAAGCTCCCACTCCGGACTTCTACTCTGGGCTTATGTTTTGTGGTGTAATTGCATTTCCTGCAAAGTGGGGCACATGTGACGGTCCGTTGCATTATTAAGTGGACGGACACAGGACAAGGATAAGTGGCCACTGGGTCGGGACACTGAGCAGCTTATAAAGTGCATGCCCTGCTAAGATCCGTGTCGTTCGTGGTTCAATTATCACCTACATATTTCCATGAATGTTCCGCCTCTGCCTTGTCCGCCCACTCATCGAGCAAACGGACATCGTGCCGTTGTCCATCAGGCGAATGAGTCAGCCTGCGTCCATTACCAGGCGCCTGTCATTCAGCCAATTACCTGGGGCCCCAAAAGCAAACAAAGCAGCGCTCGAACAAGATTGGGAATAAACGGAATACCCAATACAGAGAGCAAGGGAAGGAGGAGGAGAAGGAGAAGGAGGAGCCCGTGGATGCATGCCAAACGATGATCGGTTCATTCATTCATTCATATTTCTTAGAGGCAATTCATTTATGCCCAAATATTGCTCATAAATATGGATGGATGGATGGGTGTATCTGTGTGATACATGTGGTATATATGGATCTGTTTCTGTATTTGTGCATCTGTGGGGGCAGCATGTAACAGCTGTTTGCACGAAGAAGAAGACCAAAAGATGCAAAGAGAAAAGCGACATTCAGTCAGTCCCTCGCTCTCTTTTGTCGCTTTCCAGTCGCTCACTCTCTTACTCTCTCTCTCTCTCTCTCTCTCTCGATCTCTTTCCATTCTCGAATGAATTCAGCGAGTCACATCCCTGAAATGAACATTCGGACGGACAGAGAGAGAGTCGGCCAATTGCCTTTTATCTCCCGTGGACCACTGCGGGGATTTCTTTTCGCTTTGCAAGCGTTTGGCGTTTGGACGTGTCGCTTGGATGTCGCGTCGACCTACTGGCCCATCCGCAAGGCAAAGTTAGTTTAACTCTGCGTATACGCAACGAAACGCAAAGGCAAGGCAAAGGCAACGCAACGCGATTCGACTTGAGCCTACCTACTGCCCACTGCCACCCATCAGCTATCCGTCTACGCGCTGCCGTGCCGTCGTTACTACGTGGCCGCGTTCCCCGAGATCGTGATCCCAGTCTTGATTCGCACAAATCGCATTCCCCAGCTACTGGCTACTGGCAGTCGTCGCCTGCCGCTCGTGCGTTCCGTTCGCTCTGTGTCGCTCTGCCTCACGCGCGTAACGCTTACAAGCGATATCCGCGGCGTGCATCATCCGTAGCCGCTTATCCCCGCTTATCTGATTAGATCGGGGATCGAAGACTTTATCGAGTCGAATCTGCTGTGCCCAGTTGTCAGTGGAGTGGACGATGCGCAGAACCGTTTGGAACTAGAAGCGTTTGAAAGGCACGGGATTTTCAGCTTTTCTTTCTGCCTTTCTATTGCTATTTTTACCGTGTGTGTGCGATGCTGTGCGGCCAACAAAACACATATACAACGATACATTTTCACATATTTTTGTTCTTAACAAATTTGCTCGAGTTTTCTTCTCTGCCACGAATACATCTGTGAGTGCGACGAGTGTGCGTGTGTGCGTGTGTGAATGTGTGGAAAATTTCATTTTCATGGCGTTAAATAAGTTATAAAACAACATAAACGGTAAACGAAATGAAATGCCAATAGCAGAATACTCGATAAATCAACAGTTGAAGAAGAGTCCCCAATCCCCTCCTGCTAATAATAATAATACAAATAATCAGAGTATGAATACAATTTAGATTCAATCGAATCCGTTTGTGTGTGCCGTGTGTGTGTTTGTGCATCGAATCGATTGGGGCAAACAGTCAGGAGCTGTCATTCGCCATTTTTCACACATTTTGCTCTGCTCTCTCTCACTTTGCTTTGCTCTCCCTGCCTGCCACTTGCCATCACAGTTGGCCGGGATGCATCCCATCTGAGTGCAGCGGAAAAGCGTGTCAAGTAAAAGACCTTCCCCTTCCCCTTCCCCGTCCCTTCCCTTCCTTCCCTTTCTTTGCTTCCAATTGAGTGAGTGCTGCATAGGCCTGTCTGTCTGTGCATTCGTGCAACAATAACTGCCACAGTCAGTAGCCAGTTGTCGCAGGCATCGTCGTCGGTGTCTGGCTATTCGGGGTGTTAATACCTAATTTATGTGGACCTATAAATAATTTCAATTTAGAGAATGCGAAATGCCATGTTGACTGCCGCCCGACACAGCCCCAGCCATAGTCTCAGACTCTCCTTTTCTTTCCTTTCCTTTCCTTGCCTTGCCTTTCCTTCCTATACTATGGCTATAATATAGTGCGAGTTGTACGAAGAAATATGCTAAAAATACCAAAAACTGAACGCTGCGTGTTCTTTTAACAGTGTGTGTGTGTGTGCAGTCTCTGTGTGTGCGTGTGTATTGAGAGAGAAAGAGACAGTGAGAGTGCAGTGCGAATTGATTGAAGTGCAGGCAAGAAGTCCGCAACTAAAACAAGAGTGATCCACCTCTGAAAGAAACTAAAACTGAAGCGTGAAACGCGAAAAGACACATCCACAGGAGGATGGCAGATGGGATTGTTGTTTTTTGGGTTTTATCAGCAGAGAGGAGGAGAAGCGGATGGGCATCGACAACCCCACCGACGTCAGTCAGTGGACTATTATTTAATTTTCATCTAAATCTCAGGCAAGAAGAGAAAGATACACGAAGGCGGGGACAGTTTTGCCAGAAAAGAAATGAAAATGAAAATGAAAAGACCGAAAGCAGAGGCAGAGATGTGTTTTGCCAAGCACTAAAATACAGTTGAATACTACTCGTACACTCGTACAGTGAATATTACGAATATTTTCGGTTGCTCGATGAGCGAATTTTCAGTTTTCAGTTTTTCGGTTCAGTTGGATCCCATTTTACGAGTATGCCGTGTGCCGTGTGCCGCCCCGCCTTGCCCTGCCTCTCTCTATCTCACTCTCTCTCTCTGTTCGCTTTGTTCGAAAGAAAATCTTTTAAAATAACAATGATACATACCGCTCTCCGCTGTCCGCTCTACGCTGTCCGTTCTCCTCTGGCCACTGTCCGCCGTCTTGTTTATAAATAAATGCTCATACGTAGGATGATGTTCTTTATCAGAGAGAGAGAGCAAGATAGAGAGCGAGTAATAATATGCCCTGGGCAGCAGGCAAAAAGCAGAAGGCAGCCACTTGCTTCAGATTGGATCGGATTGATTGCTCCATTTGTCTTCCAGATAATAATTGCTGCTGCTTCGATTTATGGTCAAGCAATCTCAATCTGCATCTGTGCCCCGTCCTGCCTCTTCCCCTTTGTTTTAGCAACGGCAATTGTTGGCTTTGGCCATATCCGGCTGTTGCTCCTGCTGCTGCTGCTGTTTGCTGGGGATTGTTGCCCAAGAGGAGCCGTATCAGTGGCTCCTACGAGCGGTAGTTGCGTGTGTTTTCATCATCATTAATGTTTAAACAAAACAACATTGCTGCCCCCACAGTCTGTGGAGTCTGGCAGTGGCGGCGGGTCTACTTTGTTCTGCCACTGCCACAGCCACAGCCACTGCCTCTCCCCAATCCCAATCGTAATCCCAATGGCAATCCCATGCCCCCGCACACACGGTGATTCTGCTGCTCGGTGTGTGGATGTTGTCTATTAATAACAAAGCTTCTGAAGAATTCGCCTCTCGGTCGCGTCTAAACCCAAATCGTTTTGGCGGCGGCCGCCGCAGAAGAACAATAAAACGCGAGAGGTGGAGGCAAACCAGAAAGCAGCCCAGCAGCAGCAGGAGAGTCAAAATGTTTGCGGAATACGCAATGTTGCAAGATGCTTAAAGTAAACAAGGGGCAGAGGCAGAGTACAGGTTCCCATACGCTTTCCTGTGAGTGCATTTAACCTCTGAACTGTTTGCAAACCTCAAGATGTTGCCTCAATCTTCAATCCTCTCTATTCACAAATAAAATCATTTCCGGCTGAGCTTTGACAGGTTTTCCTCCTTCCTACCAACATTCCGCTCAAACATTCCCTTCTCCATAAAGAAAGCTGCTCGGATATTTGGGAATTTGTTGATGGAAAATGAAAATGTGTTCACTTGATGCCGCAGGAAGCGGAATTCGATTCCATTCCATAGAAGCGAAACCCAAAACTTGTACACAAATATTTCAGTGGGGAAGAGGGGAAATATTCGATATAAACTAACAAACCATTTAAGCGCAAAATACTTGTGGTAAAATCTCTAATACATGTACAACTACGGGGCCAGAGTCTGGGATTACGCATCATTCTCATTATTATCATCATCGTGATAATATTGGATAATTCCACTTCTCGTTTCTCGGTCTCCAGAGGAGAGCCCACATGGCCCCAAAATCTCTGATTCAGTGGGTATAATCGAAGCATCAGAATCAGCAGGAGAAGTGCTTAACTGAGGAGACCATGAAGAGGACTCTGCAGGTGCTGTGTGTGGCATTTGCCTTCTACTATGCACTCTTCGTTATATTCTATTACTGCTATCGGGCATATATTTGAGCAAAACCTACGAGTACATTCATCTATCGATCCATCTGCTTGCTGCCGGGGAACAGCTGAGCAGAGAAAATCCACTCGAAAGGCGTCTGCCATTGAAAATTTTGTGGCACTTGACGTGGCTCGTGCACAACCACACAAACCAATATATCGGATATATGTAGATGTAGCTGTGTGTGTGCTCTGCTCAGTGTACGGGGGAGGATAGTATTGGCTTTTGCCAGTGCACTGAGAAAATAATAAAACCATAAATCGCATCTACATTGAGAATCGAAATGCAATTACATCGAATCCATTATGCATCGTCACCTGCATGAGTCTCGTACATCACACATCATACTCTCGCCCTCGACTTGCTCCAAGGTATTTTCCATTCCTGATTCCCCCTGTTCCCTCTTTCTCCTCTGCCAATCCCAATCCTCCCGCTTATTTTAGATGGCAAAAATCGCGTTGCGCGCGTGCCAAAACTCGTACATGAAGAGGGAACTGCTGCTGGGAATTTCTGGGGATCTGAGTAGATCTCAGCAGAGATATTCGTTCGACAGATGAAAATCAATTAAACGGGCCTTATAAATCACTCGGAATGTACTCGAATGTATTCATATACAGACTGTACAGAGATGCGAACTGGAGGGTTCAGTAAATGTTTCCCTCCATATTGGCACGGAATAATGCTCAAACAATTTATTTGAATTGCATAATGGTGACCCACTCTCCCTCTCTCTTTTGCAGATCGCTCTCAGACTTCTTTCTGGTGACAGGACAAGAATGGCCTACGACATCAGCATACAGAAGCACAATTGCCAGACGCCATCAACGATAGAATTTTGGGGCATGCAACTGTAACATTCGAGGCAGAGCCAAGGATCAAGATCAAGATCAAGATCAAGACCAAGACAAGCAGACAACGGGCAGGAGAGGCAGAGAGAGCCGACAAATTGCAACTTTCGCGTTTCAGTGAAAAAACCCAACAATTTAACTACGGAACAAACATAGTTTTAGCCCCTAACTAAACTCCAAACCACAACTATTAAGTCACTAACTAAGCACTAAGCAGAGCAGCTAACGAACTTAAGCGAGAAACGAACTAAAAACTAAAAACTAAACCTAAACAATTAAAAGAGGAGGCAACATCAAAGGCAGCAGCTGCCACCAGCACAACTAAATGCAACAACAACAACAGCAGAAGAAAGGAGAACAAAAAGTGCAAAAAGTGCAAAAAGTGCAACAATCGAGCGGAGGAAAATCAATGAGCAGCAAACGAAAGCATAAAAAGCTCAAGCCAACAACGACCTTGAACTGTAGAGGAGGTGGCAACCTGTTGTAGAGAGCGAGAACGGGAGAGAACGAAGCTTTGAAGCATGCAACAGGCTGGCCAACTCACGCAGCAGCAACAACTCCAGCTACAGCCTCAACAGCAGCAGCAGCTCCAGCAGCAGCAACAGCAACAGAATGGCGGCGATGCGGCCGCCTATGCCGCTGCCTCTGCTGCCCAAGCTGCAGGCGCAGGTGGTAGGCGTGCCGCGATAAGCGGCGGCCGCTTTGACTTTGAGGATGGTGGCACCTACTGTGGCGGCTGGGACGAGGGCAAGGCCCACGGCCATGGTGTCTGTACGGGCCCGAAGCACCAGGGAGCCTATGCCGGAGCCTGGAACTATGGCTTTGAGGTCTCCGGCTCGTACATTTGGCCGAGGTAAGCAGAAGAAACCAAACCAAACCTCAAGAAATCCTTGATTTCGGTGTTTGCTTTTGCAGTGGATCCCACTATGAAGGCCAGTGGCAGAACGGTCGTCGCCATGGTCTGGGCGTGGAGCAGATCGGGCGGCAGATCTACCGAGGCGAGTGGTCCAAGGATGGACACAAGGGCCGCTACGGCGTCCGGGAGAGCACAGTGTCGACGGCCAAGTACGAGGGCACCTGGAACGAGGGCTACCAGGATGGATCCGGCTGCGAGACCTACGCTGATGGAGGTAAGGACGGAATGGGCACCCACTGCGTATACGTTATACGTAGACGTAATACGGGCATGAGATCATTTTGCGTTCGGTTTTTGGCTCGGTTTCAAAACGCGGCGAACATGAATGCGAAATGCTACTTGCTTCTTGCTTTCGTTTTACTTTTTGACGTTTCTGTAATCATTTGTAGGCGTCCGCGAGTGTCCGTTTATCCGTTCGTCCGTGTGTCCGTATGTGTTTTTTTTTTTTGTATTCATTTGTTTAATCCTTCTAATTAATTATCTAGCTTTAATAATACTTTAAATATAATAATAATAATAATACTTCTTACACTAGTGGGTATACTCATACTGAGGGCCGTATTTTCTGGTGGGAGTGGGCGCCCGTCGCGCGCGGTACTGCCGCAAAGCATTGCTTCGCACGCTCGAAGGCTCCTACTCCGCCTCCTGTTTACGACTCCTCTCCAATGCTCTCAGCGTTCGCATAACACTCGAGGCGAACTCTGCGGCCGCTTCCCATGTCCTTGGCTCGGCCAGCATGATCGGCACCAAGGTCTCGGAGGAGATCCTGGCGCCTACTGCTGTCTCCATGCGGTGTCGCTCGTGGTCGAACCGGTGGCATTCGAAGAGGACGTGCTGTGCATCCTCCACTATGCCGGTGCCGCACTCTGGGCACCAGTCCTCCGTCTCGTGGCCAAAGCGCTTGAGGTAGCTGCGGAAGCAGCCATGACCGCTAAGCGCTTGGGTGAGGTAAAAATCTACCCGGCCGTGCTTCCTCTCCATCCAGGCTTGCAGCTTCGGTATGAGGGTGTAAGTCCAGCGCCCCTTAGTTGACCTGTCCCACTGGTTCTGCCATCTGCTGATGCTGTTCCTCCTCGCTGCAGCCTTCAGCTCTGCTCTTGTCGCATCGCTTTCGCCCTGCACGGCTGTATGGATCTCCGCTCTCTCCCTTATTAGCTCCCTGAGTGGGACTTGCCCCGCAATGACTAGCGCGGCTTCGTCCGACACAGTCCGGAACGAGCACGCTATTCGTAGGGCACACAGCCTGTACGTCGCCTCAACGCCTCGCATGTAGGTCTTTACCTGAGCGGCTTTCGCCCACGCGGGCGCTGCGTACAGGATCTGCGACGTCACAACACTCGTCAGGAGCTTCCGCGTTGCCTGCTTCGGACCTCTGGTGTTGAGGAGCATCCGTGAGAGCGCTCCTGCGGTTCCGCTGGCCTTCCTCTGCACGTACTCCAAGTGCTCCTTGAAGGAGAGGCGAGTGTCGATGAGCACCCCGAGGTACTTGATTGCCCTCTGCGAGCGTATCGTGGTGCCACCGACCTGCACACTTGCAGTCTCTACAGCTTTCCGGCNTGCCGCACTCTGGGCACCAGTCCTCCGTCTCGTGGCCAAAGCGCTTGAGGTAGCTGCGGAAGCAGCCATGACCGCTAAGCGCTTGGGTGAGGTAAAAATCTACCCGGCCGTGCTTCCTCTCCATCCAGGCTTGCAGCTTCGGTATGAGGGTGTAAGTCCAGCGCCCCTTAGTTGACCTGTCCCACTGGTTCTGCCATCTGCTGATGCTGTTCCTCCTCGCTGCAGCCTTCAGCTCTGCTCTTGTCGCATCGCTTTCGCCCTGCACGGCTGTATGGATCTCCGCTCTCTCCCTTATTAGCTCCCTGAGTGGGACTTGCCCCGCAATGACTAGCGCGGCTTCGTCCGACACAGTCCGGAACGAGCACGCTATTCGTAGGGCACACAGCCTGTACGTCGCCTCAACGCCTCGCATGTAGGTCTTTACCTGAGCGGCTTTCGCCCACGCGGGCGCTGCGTACAGGATCTGCGACGTCACAACACTCGTCAGGAGCTTCCGCGTTGCCTGCTTCGGACCTCTGGTGTTGAGGAGCATCCGTGAGAGCGCTCCTGCGGTTCCGCTGGCCTTCCTCTGCACGTACTCCAAGTGCTCCTTGAAGGAGAGGCGAGTGTCGATGAGCACCCCGAGGTACTTGATTGCCCTCTGCGAGCGTATCGTGGTGCCACCGACCTGCACACTTGCAGTCTCTACAGCTTTCCGGCTCGATATGAGCACCGCCTCGGTCTTCTGCGCTGCCAGGTCCAATCCGGCGACCGTAAGCCACGACTCCACGGCTCGGACGGCCGCGTTGGCGAGCTCCTCCACTGCGGCAAGGTGCTTGGCCACCACTACTATGGCGACGTCATCCGCAAACCCCACCATGCTGGTTGTGTCCGTATGTGTGTGTGTGTGTGTGTGCCACACGGGGAGGAAGAGTGACCCACCCTGACGTCATATTTTTATTTCTCATCATCAGCGGTTCAATGATATTTTGCTCTGTTGCCTGCCTGCCGCCTGCCTTCGTTTTGTTGTTTTTCATTTGGTAAATTTTTGCACCATGAGTGCGGTTTTGTGTGGGGAAATTCGTGATGGGAAAACACATGGCTCTGCTCTGGCCGACGTCTGTTGGTGGCTGCCTCCTCATTGCATTCCCCGAAAGTCCATACACTCAAAGGGTGTCCCGCCCCTAATTGGAAAGGTTCCCCAGTATGCAAATGTGACCTTTTGAGCCCATGGGAATTGGCGCAAAGCTATTAATTAGCATTAGTATTAGCCGAGGGCTAAGTAGAATTTCCTGGCAAGAAAATGGTCGGACTCCTTTAAGCGGAAGGCACGTGGAGCCATTAATATAAGTAGAAATTGTTGAGGGAAATACATTTCACTTAGGCTTCCTGCGGAAGAACAGGACACAATGCGGCCTGCACTTATCGTTTGCATATCAATTGTAACCATTTCCAACCGACTACTCTGATTGCAGGCAAGTACCAGGGTCAGTGGCAGGAGGGAAAGCGCCATGGATATGGCATTCGCACCTCGGCACCCTTCGGCCTGGCCTCGCACCATCGCCGCAAGAACCTGCACGCCTCGCTGAGCTCCCTGCGTAGCGGAGAGAATGGCAATGCGGCCAAGATGGCGGCGGCGGAGAAATCGGAGGAGATCCGTGGTGGCTTTGTGCTGACGGCCAAGTCGGACAAGCTGCCGGTGCGCCGCAACAGTCTGACGGAGAAGACCAAAAAGGGTTTCCTAATGGTGGGTACTCCCTCACCCAGAAGCAGCCTTAAATGAATCTCTTTCCACTCCCCATCCTCAGGGCCTCAAGATGCGCAAGCAGCGCAGCACGGGAGATCTGGAGAAGCGTGGCACGATTGCGTCCGGCAGCATACGCTCCACAATGTCATCGGCTTCCTGGATCAGCACTGGCTCCGAGCAGTCCAATCTGACGCAAAAGTAAGTACTATCCGCATCCAGAGTGCCCACTAATTGTCCACTAATATCTACATAGATCAACGCACACGGAGTCCAATGCCAGCTTCACCATGGAGGACGAGCAGCTGGATCCCACTGTTGTGGAGACGTACATGGGCGAGTGGAAGAAGGACAAGCGCTGTGGTCACGGCGTGGCAGAGCGCAGCGATGGTCTCAAGTGAGTCTCTAAGCCTGGCTCCCCCATCGAATGAATCCTAACGAATCTCATTCCGTTCCCGTAGGTACGAGGGCGAATGGTACAACAATCGGAAGCATGGCTATGGTGTGACCACCTTCCGTGATGGCACTGTCGAGGAGGGCAAGTACAAGAACAACATCCTGATCACCAGCCAGAAGAAGAAGCATTTGTTCCTGGCGCGTTCGCGCAAGTTCCGCGATCGCATCACCGCCGCCGTCAACTCCGCCCAGCGTGCCCTGAAAATGGCAATGCAGCGCTCGGACATGGCCATCTCCCGCATGGCCACAGCCGCAGCCAAGTCCCAAAATGCGGATATGGCCGCAGAGCAGGCGAGAATCGACTGTGAGAATGCCGTGCGAATGGCACGGGAGTTTGCTCCCGACTTTAAGCCCTCGGTGCTGGAACGTTTTGAGAAGCTGCGCTACAGAGAGCGGGAGCGATACCGCGGCGCACCCCCAGCCCCAACCGAGGCTGGGATGAAACCCACTGTGACAACGGGAATGGGAGCGGGTGCGGGTGCGGGATCAACGCTGCAGCAGCAGCAACAGGGACAGTTCTCGCCGGCGAGCAGCAGCGGATCGGATGCCTATGCCACGCAAGCACAGCGCCAGCAGCAGTATCTGAACATGCAGCAGCAGCAGCGGCGCATGTCCCAGCAGCAGCAGCAGGAGTCCGAGTGCCCCGTGCCCTCGTCGATGTACTCGCAGCAGCTGCCCGTCTCGCCGCAGACGGATCTCTCGGGCATGGTCAGCCAGGCGCAGCCCAGCCACGCCCAGGTGATCAGTGCCATCAATCAGATGTACCACCAGCAGCAGCACCAGAGCCAGCAGCAACAGCAACAGCAACAGAGCAACCCGCAAATGAATCCTGCATATCAGTTCCAGCAGCAGCAGCCGCCCGGCCAGGCCAAGATGAATCTGACGCAGAATCAGGCGCTGACGCAGGCCCAGACACAAGCACAAGCACAAGCACAGACACAGGCTCAACTGCAGCAGCAACAGCAGCAGCAGCTTCCCTTTGGGGCTGGCACCAATCTGGCAAACATGTCGCCACAGCAGCAGCAGCAGCAGCAGCATCAACAACAAATGCAGCAGCAACTCCAGCAGCAACAGCAACAACAATCCTCGATGCATGCCTCACCCAGCCACAACAATGCCTCCAATCTACTGCGACGAGCCTCGCAGATGCAACAGCAGCAGCTGCATGAGGCTGCCGTGGCCAATGCCGCTGCCATGGCAGCCGCCCAGCAGCAACAGAGAAGCGGTCGCCCGCCCATGCTGGGACAGATGGGGCAGCAGTCGTCCATCGATCATTTCGACCACTACAAGCGTCCGCCCAGCCGCGACTCCTCCATCGATCGGTATGCGCGAGCTGCGAGTCGCATGAGCGGCGCCTTTGCTGGCTCACGCCAGACCTCGCTCGATCGCTCCGGAATCGCCGATCCTACGCTGACTAATGGCGGCACCACCACACCCGACGGGCGTCCGCGAGCCGGCTCAGTATTCCGAGGATCCACACCGGTGCCGGGAGCAGCCGCCGGCACTTCGAACATGACTGGCAACGGCTCCCTGCCCTCCGGAACTGGTGGCAGATTATCGCGTGCCGGCACACCCAGTCTGGGTGCTGGAGGTCGGGCGCCCAGCCAGGGTAACACCGCGGAGCCGCTCTTCTCCTCGCCCAATCAGCCGTTCGAGGACGTTCTGCTGCGTCAGCGGACGCTCGGACAGGATATCATTCCCTCGCCCTTGCAGCCCAAGCGCACGGAGAGCCTCTACTTGCCAGCCAAGCCAGCCACACCAGTAGGTGGCATGGCCATGGGCGGCAAAGGTGGCGGAAAGAAAATGAAGGTGAGTGCAGCAGCAAATAAATTGTCTCTTGTATCGCATAACACAGTTAATCCGCATCTACTTTGGATATGTCTATGTCCCAGACACCGTCCCAGTCCGATCTCTGTCTCATTGGTGTTCGTGTGCGTGTGGGGGGAGAAAAGAGAGCCAAACAGCCCGAAGGCTTGTTGTATTCATTTTCAAACATTTCTCGGCCAGCTCTCTGGCCGCGGGGCTAACATGTGCCCATTCTGGGCTATTTTTAGTTGGGTGCGAATGCACGCCAGGCGGATCAGCCAGCTAGAGATTGGAATGCACGTCCCGTGCTCTGGCTCTCTGGCTCTCCTGCTGAATGTCTCGCTGCTGCTGCTGCTGCTGCTGCTGATCTGCGAATGAACACTCCACAAGTGGCCATTGGAAAGCCCAGAGGGGCGTCCAAGAGTGTCGCCTGCTCATTTGTAGCCTGCCAGCGGCGACAGTCGATGGCTGCTGAGTTTTCGAAATGGCTGCGCTAGTAGCAAACGACGCGTCGGCCAAAACAGATTGAGGTTTCGTCTCCGATCCACTTTGAATGCCACTTCGGAGCAGCAGTAGCAATATAAATATATAGTACTTATGTACATATGTGACCCATTCAAAACAACAAGATAAATACATAAAAATTCAAAAAGCTGAAGCTGAAAGCAGAAGGAGAAGCAGAAGCTGAGGCAGAGAACGGACGACAATATCTGTTGTTATTTTGGCTCATTGCCGTGCCATACCGTGCCGTGGGTTGTTCCGACTATTTTTGGCTGACGAATCGCGACTCTTGACTCTGCGTTCGTGTCGGTGTCTGCGTCCGAGTCTCCATTGTCCGCATAAAGTAAAACCGATACCAAAACTCCATGTCCAACTCGCTTACAAGTTGGAAGCGCCTCTAGGCGGATTACACAAATTTTGCAAACGTTATGCAAGCATCGAACTTGCTGCTGCCGTATAACTCTTGCTGAAACTGTGACCGAATCACACTCACACAATGGACTGGTATCCCGAGGAGGATGAGGAGGACCTGATGTTCTCGCCGGCTCTGTTGGCGCGTCGTGCCAGCGAGAGTTGGATCGTTGAGCCACCAGTTGAGGTGGAGATTCTCCCTATTTGATTCCAACGTATGATTAATGTGGGGCACTTGGTTTATTTCAATTTGCAGACGGTGCCCATCAATGTGTCGCTGCAGCGAAAGAAGTCCATGCCCGACTTCCAGGAGCTGCCTCGCGCCACCGAGGCCATGAGTCGCGAGGAGGTCTCTGCTCTGGGCTCGGCCCGACGCGAGGCAGTGCGTAAACAGATCGAAGTCAACGAGCGCCTCAGGGCGAATCCCTTGCTCTACTTGGTCCGTCCAGAGGTTCGGGTGAGTAAAGGCTTTTGCAGTCCTTGATTGTGGGATTTATTGTAATTCGTAATTTTGTTATTTTTCCAGGATTGGTTCGTACGCCAGCAGCTTGTGCTGCTTGTTCTGTTTTTCAATGCGGCGTTGGCACTACTATTTGTCTACATGCTCACCTAGCGCCGAATCATACGCAAGACGACACGAGGCAGGAGCAGATGTGCTTGCGTGTTGGCTAATTTGCAGCCACTGTAAGTTGCTCAGTTCGAAAGGGGCGCAGCCTGCGCGCTCGCGCTCTGTGTCTAACATTCACTGTTTCGTGTGCTTTGTGTAGTCAGTCCACTTCCGACACACTTTTGTGGGGGGTCGAGGCTTATAACATTTTAGCATTTGCCGTAACAAACAAATTATGAACCAAAATAAGTATCCAACTCGTCTCGTATGAATATGAAACAAAAAGGAGATCAGACACACAAGAAAATCGAATTACAAATCTAGACTGCAGCCAACTAAAGAATAAGGTAATTAACTAATAGCGCAGAACTGCAATGCACAAAACGTAGTAAACTACTAGTAAAATACTTGAACCGAACCGGGTGGCTGTGCGGCCATTCGTCATTAATTTGTCAAGCCAATTTAATGATCAATATTTATATTTGTGGCTAACCAGACAGGAGAGCAAATAAGAGCAGCAGCAGCAGTGGTAGGAGAACGAATAACTATATGCAAATCAATTTAACGAATTTTTCTACACATTTAATATAAAGCTAAAGGTAAAAAGGTAAAGCAGAATGGAAGAAAAACAAAGAAACACAGAAGCATTAGCAATGTTTGAACATAACACACATTTAATAATACGCGATGTATTCGAACTGTGGCTGCATAATACTCGTACATAATACGAAAGCAGATCTTAGACAGATGCAAAGAAACCAAAACCAAAACCAAAACCAAAAACAGAAACATATTTCCTATTTGCAATTGAATCTACCATTAGTCAGCAAACTTAATCAAAACAAAAGGCAAGTAAATAATATACATATATGTACTCATATTTATATTTAATACAAATCGTAACGATGTGACACCTATATTTGTATAATTAGCAAAATTGTGAGGGACCGAAAACAAAAAGAACAAAACTAGCAGCAGCAGCAGTAGCTACAAATCTAGGGCGCTTTTCGCGCTTTCTTTTGGATTAACCAGTTGAAATTTTTTGAATGAAGTAAGGAAGGAAAATGGAAAGGAAAAAGAAAATCAATATCTATGAAATATATATTTAAAAATAACGGATTGAGATTGTTAACGAATGAAGCTGTATATATACATTTTAAAATATCGTATAACTATAATTATTTTCTTCTCCATAATTTATGTTTAATTTCATAATTTCCTTTCAATGTGTTGGAACCTATCGTTTTTATTTTTGTTTAATTTATGATATACGAAGAGGTTTTGCAACATTATTATTTAAACTTTTTCATTTGTTATAGAGATTTGTATGCATAAATTATTGAAAAGAAATAAAACCGCACATTCGCATCTTAGCAAGTGTATTCGGTAATGTTTGATTTAATAACTATACTATTTACTATTTATATTTATATTGAAAAGAAAACTCTCAAGTGCAATTATAGTAAACTGTAAAACTTTCTGCTTTCTTCAGCTATTTGATGTGCGTCGTCGATAGCACTCGTAAATGGAGCGCGATCATAACACAATTTGGTCCTATATTTTGTAGGGCCCTTTTCATTCACTTTTAAGGAAAGATAAATTGTAAATTTTCTGACATGGCAAACGTGCAAAAAACTTACGAATTGAAAGACTTGAAAAAGAAAATGGTTGGCTGATTTGTGAAAATTGAAAATAAAAACAATTTGAAATGCAATTGAAGTGGAACTCGCGCGGTGCAAGTGCTATGTAAACTTGATTCAAGTATTTATATTGCATTATATTTGCATAATAAACTGAATAAAACAACCAAGCAAATCAAGTAATTTATGTATATATGTATGTATGTATCTATGTTTATCAGATTTGCAGGCATACTCAAAGATAAAGCTGGAAACGCATAAGATAAAATCTTATTAAAAGTTATCAACGTCAAGAAATTATATCAAAATGATACCATGATAATGGAGGAAACTTTTTGAATACTATAATAAAACACATAACTTAAGTTCTCTTAGCCGAGATTTTGATGGCGGTCAAATAATTTGAATAAAAACAAAGATGGGCAGAAAGAAAAAAGGTGTTGCAAGCGGGGATTTAAAGATAAATATGTATATTTAAAAACACGGCATACTTTTGGGGGTCTTTATGAAAGTGATAGTGGCTACTTTCTGGCTGGCATTTTAGGGCTTAATTTGCAAAATTGCATACAAAAGGCGTGTCCTTGAGGTCGCATGCAAACGGTTCGGCAAATTCTGCCAATCATGAAGGCACTATCACGTACGGATCGGATGAGAAATGGCGAAGTTATATCCTAAATCCCTAATGTCCTTGAGGCGAAACAAATTTAAAATAATCGGGAGTATTATCCTGATTACGAAAAAGTGTTGCACGAAAGAAAAGGTACAAGAATAGACAAGATATAGCCTAAAGAAAAAAAAACAGTATTTTTGAATGGCTTACATCTCGGCCAAATAGGGGCAAATCCTGGAAGGACCTACTTTTCCAGGATCGCCAGGATCCAGACCATTGATTGTGGCCTTAAAATATAGGGGGTTCAGTTTTTGTCAAAAGTGATAAGAGGATACTTATCACTTTTGCAGATTTCGCGAAGTAGACATCCTTGAATGTCCTTTTTCTCGTATGCCTTTCGATGGGCAGGATTCTACCGGTTACCAAAAGACATGTCACGCCCAGATTGGGGTTCTTTTGGCTGAGATATAGCGTAATGAAAAAAACCCAGTATTTTAAATATTTGGGCAGCCAAAAGTTTAGGAGGCTAAATGGGCTCCATTTGGGGCAGGACCTGCTTTTCCCGTATCCTTAGAATGTAGGCTGTTCATCGACTACAGATTTCCTTCGATCCCTTGAAGGCGTGGCACGCCCTGACCAAACGAAAAATATCGAATAATTTAGCGGGTCCAAGGAATTATCCTTATTATATTTTATTACAAATAACAGAGGGTTGTAGCCCGATCACGACGAGGAGTCGCACGTCCTGATTGTCCCACAAATAGCGGAGATATTTACCAAACAAATTTCCCTGTCCTTGAGGACGAACAAAAAAATTAAAATGTTTCCTTAAGGACCTTATTACGTTCAAATAGTTGTTGAGGATCTTCCGCACACAAAGGCACGTATCACGACAGGATCGGATGAGAAATGGCAAAGTTATAGAATCCTTGATGTCTTTGAATCGAAAGGGATTCAAAAGGATAGGGGATGGTTATAGTTATCCTGACTACGCCAAGGAGCGACATCAGTCGAAGGATACCGGGAAAAAAAAAACAAAACGAACGCTCAAATGGCCAAAAATCACCACCAAAAAGTAGCAGGCCAACAAAAATCAGCAGAAAGTTGCTTGTTTTTTCTTTTTTTCATGCGGTCAAAAGCGGTCTGCTATGAAACTTGATTCATTTTGTAAACTTTATTTAATCAGCCTTAAGGCACCCGCCTGAAAGTATGCCACTCGTTTTTTTTTTAAGATCCCCCAAAAGTATGCCGTGGTTTAAAATATGTATTAAGCTCGATTTTAATGCCATTGGATGTACAATAATGTAAGGAAGACAGATTGTCAATCGTTTTCAAGGATTAGGATTTTTAATTTTTATAACTCTCCATTTCTCATCTGATTCGGTCGTTATACGTCCCCTCTAGAGGGATGAATCTGCTGTATCCATCTAGAAATTCAGGGACTTTTACATAGGTGCAGATATCCTCTAGCGACAGAAGCGTCCAGAGACGGAAGCTATTGCTCGCTGGAGGTTTAGCAGTCTCCGTAAGTCTCCGAATTGATGTCGCAGCTCACGTAAAGGTATAATCCAAAATCACGATATGGCTGCTTTAGTAGCCGACGAAGGTCCATACCTCCTTGGCGCCATACCTTATTTAGAATAGGAAAGATTAAAACATCTTTGAAAATTAAAAATTCGAATACGTACCATTATTTAGTTCTTACGGATTGTCGGTCCTAATGGCATTGTCAAGCGGAGACATGTTCAAATATTTGGAAGCTCAGGGGAAGGCGTCGGACTGTGGCAGTCTGGAATCCTATATGACGACGATATTATTTTATTACAGCTCCTTGTGCTATCTATCAATATACTTGAGGGATCTACATACATATATCAATCCAAGTTATCTATGCTTTTGATATACACCCTAATAAATTCCAAAATAACAAATTTTCTTTTTTCATTCTTTTGATTTGAAAAATATTACTGGTAAGTTGTTATAAATAAATTAGTTGATGATGTTGCTGAAATCAATTCCTTGTTCAGCGGTGGCTGATCACGCAAATGCCTGAGAATGCATCGGGAAATATGCCAAAATCACATTGGATTGTGCTCATCGCTCTGCTGGTCGTAATAGTCATCATAATCATTATCATAGTCATCGTAATGATAATCGGAGTAGTCAAATATAACAGCGATACGAATACATTGAGTACCCTTTTCTCACATAACCTTGGCCCAAAGACAACTACTTTAAGCGGGCTTGTAGAAATCGATGAAGAGTTAGAGGCACCATCCAGTACTGTTGGTAACCGTGATAGTCCTGCCTAGAAAAGCCTAATTCAATTATGATGATGTCACATCGGACCTGGACCCTGCTTGAGAACATCCTTTGAACCTTCTGTCCTCCGACGCCAGGTGGCAGTCTCCATTAATTCCGCCGCCTACTTGTCAAACTAGGATAAACTCGTATATGAGCTTTATGGTTTCGTCAGCTAAAGATAGAGGGCGCTTCCGATTGCTTCCGCTTCCGCTTTCAAGCTTGAAATCTTTGGCGCCATACAGTGGTCACATTATAACAAACACTCAATTCAAACGAAGCAAAACCCCGATTGGATTATCTTTGACTGCAGAAAAGGAAGGTTTTCCAGAGCCCCTACCCAATTGTGGTAAAGTCTTACTGTTGGCTTTGTGGTTAAGAACGTACAAGCATAGAATATAGGACATAGAGCCAAAGTACTTGTTGTCATGTGTTCGGAATGTGTTCGGAATGCAAAAGCAAAGGCTTTTCCTCCATCACTTTCATTTGAGCCACGAAAGTGTAGAATTGATGTATAGTAGAAAAGCGACGACCTGACGTAATCGTAATTCAAAAGCACTTTTGCATGTACATTTGTGTGTATCATGCAACAAACATCGTGTATCTTATGTTCTTCTGCCTGTGGATTTGTCGTCGTAGCAGCAGAGTGTGCTAGTGGGCGTACAACAGGAAATTACCTATTTGTGAGGCACTTTGAGATCGTTAATCTGTATACATCCTGAACCCAAAGAGAAGAGCATTTCGAGCCGACTAAACGGTGCATTCTACTAACAAAACAATTGACAATGCATCAATACAATCAATGCAAATTAATTATCAATCAATTTGAATGGCCTCACTGTGACGTTTGCGGGAAAACTCAATTTGAAAGCGAATTCGAAAAGGCAGGGCATCGGTCAGAGACTGGATGATAATATTTTTAGGAACTAATTGGGGCCAAGAGAGGATAACCTGTCAAAAAAGTCGTAAGGTCGGTCGATTTAAGGACTTGCCGGCAATAATAAACAAATAAATTTGATGGAAAACTGACAACTGAGACACGTATAGCACGCTTCGAAACACTACAAGAAATCAAGAAATTTTAGATCGAGAGATCCGAGAAATATGACTCCGAAGCTGAATCTGTGAAACAATGGAAGAAATAGTAATAGGAGCAGAAACGGCGGCGCGTTGATTCGTAAAGTGCGCTCAGTGTCAAAGGAAATCATATTTTATCCAGCAATTAGCGAAGATGAGCCGGGCCGGGCAGCAGAGATTTGGACTAGGTATGTCAGGCAACCAGTACATGGTGGAAGTACATTATATACAATGATGTGGTCCGTCTTCCAATTCAATTAAGTGGAAATTGTGTCACGCGCCGCTCACTGCGAATCGTCCCCGAATCGTCTTCTTCCATGGCTTAGAAGTGGCACTGTCTTGGGCAGGCATGGCATGGCAGATGCTCGGGATACTCGGATTCTCACTTAAATGAATTCCGGGACCGACACACAGTTTCACTTGAGCCACACACAGCAGAGATTTCTCCTCCACACATAGCCCCCACCCACATACACACGGCCACGCACACAGGCAATCAGAGGACAGAGTGGAACATAATATTTGATTAAGAACGACACTTGCTGATACTCGTATTATTTTTTGTGTTTCCAGAAACGATGGACGCACAGTACAGATCAGTGTCGCGAGGCACGCAACGGTGTCAACTTGGCGTGCAGCGCAAACCCCACAGTGTCAGTGCCGATCCCCAGTCCAAATCCAAATCCAACTCCACATCCAAATCCAAGCCAATACCCAAACAACAACCGACCTCGAACCGGAGCCAGAAACAGAAGCAGAATCAGAGTCTCTATCAGAGCAAGGAGCATATCCAGACCCATCTACAGGTCCCCGAATCGATCCCGTTTCTCTGCTGAGCTGAGGAAGCGACAACTCGCATCGGGAAGAATGCCGACCATCACAGAGGATTGCATCGATGGATTCCAGCAGTATTACTCGCGGCCGCCGGAACGTCCCAAGAAGAAGTCCCTGAAGCAGATGGTCTACGACTCCACCGATAACTCCTACTTCGGGCGCACCATCGATAGCTGGGGTAAGTCTGGACTACGGATCCGCATCTCAGCTAAATTCCTATATCCATTACGTAAGTGCCCCACCGTACTCTCAAGTCGGCCTCTGGATATTCATATGGCAGTACGGATTTAATCAAAAGAAATCTCTTTTGTTGTCGCATTAGCGCGTACAGATACACAGACAGAATTCCGTATCAGACCTGAACACAGAGATATATCCACTTAATCCGCCAGAGCTTGATCGCTAGCTATGCTTCTGCATCTGTGAGTCCGTTTTTTATTGCCTGCCCAATGACATTTCGTTGGATTCGACTGGATTCTGCCTGTGTGCTCTTTTCTGTTCTGCTATGTTCTGTTCTGTGGGGGGCATACTCGTACATACTACCATGCACAATCTGATCCATAGAGAACTTGTTCAACATATCGGTCAATTATGCCATTATGCAATCAGTCTATGACCCCAGCCATGTTCCACAGAGCAATCTCTTCGACAAATTAAGTCCGAGGTAGCTTCGACCCTCAAAAAGAATTGTCGTATCCTCTCGCATAACTAAAAGATTTCTCAAGGAACTATGCTGTACAATCCTTAGAAATTTGGAATTGTCTTCTATGTATGGGGATTACCTGAATACAACCTGCGACCCCAAAGCCATTTGAGCGCTCAAATGCTGCCATTGATGGCTTCCTTCCTGGCAAATCCATTCTGAAATAGAGATGAAAAAGCAAAAGAGAGTAAAATATTTATGCTTCGACAATATTTTGGAAAAAACCATCCAAATGTTGAGTAGCTCACCCCAAGCGCTCTAGAACCCACCCCCTGTGGCGAAAGCAACCCCCAGAGTGTAGTGGAAACTTTAGAAAACTTCTTCGAGTTCTACGCAAATTTGTTGACTGCTTTTTTTTTCCTGATTTTATTATTTTTCCTCGCTTTTATTTAGTTGGTTGGTTGGTTAACAGCCCTGCTTTTGTTTCTTCTATTGTATCGTATGTCCTGTGACTGCCTTCAAAAACAGGTTTAGCCCTTTGTTTGGCCAACGAATCTAGCTCAAAGGCATACACGCCGATACACACGCAACACGCACACAGTCAGGCAATGTGGTGCGCCTGTGTATTGATCGGGAGCCGAGCCAGGGCGGGTTGTGTTTGTGTTGGAAGTGGAAGGCTCAAACGATCGTGGAATACCAGTTCAGGCACCAGACTATGCCTGCCTGCATGTGGAAATCTGGGCATGGGATTTCTCTCGGTGTGACCATGAGCAATTTGCACTTAATGTGCATCAAACGCCACTAATCACCCACTGCCGCGCCTAATTAAAGCAAGTGCAGGCAGAAACATTCATTTCCACGACAATTACAAAGCCCAGAGTGACTCTGAGTACGAGTACGAGTCAGAGTCCCAGCACAATGCAACCCAATCTCGGTCTAGAAAACCCAACCCAGCCCAACCCCAAGTCGGAAACCCCATTCCACATGCCGCATACCGAATGCCGCAATCCACTCGAACGAGAAATGCCGCCAAAAGCAGTTTCCACTCAAAACAAACTCGGTTCTCTCACAGAGTATGCGACCCAGAGAGAGACAGTGAGAGAGTGCTGAGACCCGGACAAAAACGAACTAAGCCCAGCCAAAAACTGACTCAAGCCAAGTCTGTTGTTTGATATTGACAGACTTTCGAGTTTGGGCTACAGTCTGGATTGGTTTTGAGCGGCGACTAAACGTATGACGGCAGACTGGAAAATTAAGAGTCGAGTCGAGTATTATAACCGAAATATTCGAGATACAAATAAACACCACCTCGGAGTTCCTAGTTGGAGTGTTTGAAGTGCCTGGAGACAGGGTTTGCAGTGCGGTGCGGAGCGTAAAGTGCGTCAAGTTTTTACAACAAAAAAATATCGAAAGATGCTCGTAAAGCCATAAAATCCATCCATAAAATGCTCGAAATTTTGTCACGCCCGAAACGCTGACACACACACCACATACAGACACACACACAAACACTCATACTCGCATATACAAAGAAGAGAGTACAAATTCAAGAAAAGTATCTCTGGGTTTTAGGAGTCTTCTGAGGTTCCGTACCCAAGAAGAACGAGCGCTTCAAAAAGGTGTGGTTGTTTGTTGTATGTGGTCGGACTCTAAGTCGCTAAGAGCACACCTAAGAGATACAAAACTACATATGCTCCCAGCGGACACAGTTCGCGTAAGTGAGTTGGGCCAGAGTATTTGTATCTGTGTGCCAGAGTGTGTAGCTGTGAGTGCGTTTGGCAAGAGCAAGTATCGTTTGTTGTGGCAGCTCGGATGCAAAAATAAGTAGAGACATTTGTATACATGAAGGCAGCCGTGCAGCCGAGATACACTTACATATTTCCTATCTGTTAGTTTGCCAATGCCGGGTCAAAGCCAATGCCGCATTGGAAGCACCACAAAGAGCAACGGAACTGTGCATAACACTCTCCCCTCTTTCCTTCCCTCTGTCGTAGTCTTGCACCAAGTATCTGGCGGATACACCAACTTGTTGGTCTACGACTGGAGGAGGCTCGTCTCCTAATCGACTTGCCTCCTGTTGTGGCAAGGAGAACCAACGAAAAAACGCGCCAAAGACTACTGCATGGCGAGAGGGTGGAAACGGCTAAAGGCCAAGTGAAGCAAAGAGAAGCAGCACAAAGAGTGAGAAGAGAGTGAGGCGGGGTGGTAGCGCATGGTGAGAGTGAGAGGCCGCAAAGTGTGTGGAAAAGAGCCAGCAAACATGTCATCCGCATCTGCGAGTACCAACACTTCTGTAGACACATCTGTGCCAATGCCGGGCCAGTGCAAAAGGAAAAACGAACCAAAAACTGTAAATGGCAAAAAATATATAATTCTGAAAATGATTTTCTAAATATTCGCAATGTTACAAAACAGTCTGCGTGCATAAGACTGCGACGAAACAACCAAAAGTGCGGTGCAAAAACAGATCCAAAGATCCAATCCAAAATCCTGTACTTCCGCAAAGTATTCTCATCATTTTTTTTTTGTTATCCCCCTAGATTCAAAATATCGACCAAGAGTGCATAATTATTTACTGCTAACTTAAGTAATCCACCGAACCAAAAACCGAAAAGTACAACATCTATAAAGTAAAGTAACATCAACCAAATCATGTCTAAGCCACAACCAATGTCAAAGTCCTTTACGGACGAGGATCTTTGCAACATACGCAAGCCCAGACCTTTCCATCTGGGCCAGTTCTTATATAACTCTGAGACGGGCACGGTTATGAACAGAGATCGTGCATCATGGGGTAAGTTATAGGGTTACAGGGGACTTTTTTTTAAAGGTCTACTCGTAACTTTTGGAAGTTACAATAAATATTGTCTCGAGTCGCAGTCGTAGAACAGGGAAACGTGATTATTTTGGATCTACTTTGTGTCAAGAATTGGGGTTACATTTACACATCTACCGTCATAAATCACTAGCTGAATTAGCTATACGTTACCTATACATCAAGTGGGGGCATCGCGGGCAGCTTAATTCCTCCATCCGCTCTATAGAGCTTTCACTGTACAAGTGTACACTCAATGCGTCGCCATTTCCATTTCCATGTCGAATGGCTTACATTTTCGTTGAAAATTATTTTAATTACACTCCGTTCCATTAGACCTTTTTGTGGGTGGGCTGGGCTGACACACTTTCTGAGGAGTGTCGAGAGTTGCACTTGACGTGCAAATTCATTAGAGGAAGCTGCTAGAAAGCCCAAATTAATATGGATATCTGTACAAACGTGGAAGTGTTCACAAATGAGGTCGAGCTATGCAATGGAGAACTTGGGAACCTACATCTTATGTCAGTTTCTAAGTATCTCTGACAATTGGCGCTACTTAAGCATTTGGTTATAATGTAAAATATGTAGTACATGTTTTCATCTTTCAATTGGATGGAAAGGTTCTTCGGGTGGGGTCGCCAAAAGTCTGAATATTGGCATTTAAAAAGATATTCTTGGCAAGCCCAAGGCCCTGGCTATTTATAGGCCAGTGTGTGCAATGCAATTATGCTGAAATGGGCATGGCGAAAACACGAAAGAAAATGTAAGAAAAAGAGTACGGGAAAATAGTGGAAAATATTTACATATTAATGTCATTTGAGTTCTCTCTTTGAGAACTTGCAAACTTATGGCAGAAAATCTAAGCAAGAAATGAAGTATTATCTTTAGAGCTCTCCACACCACTGGGTTTGTTTACAGTTCAACCAAAAACCATAAAGAAACAATGGCTTACATTTGATATTTCTCTGTTCCGCAAACCTAAAAAAGAACACTATTGACTCCACTTTGATCTTGGCCTCAACTCTCTCTGTCTTTCTTTCCTTCTTGGTTTTCTCTTTGCACGGCTTTCTGATATTCCTCCTCTTCCTCTCTCTGACAAATTGCTGGCAACCTGCTTCGTGGAGTTGAGGTTATGTCGTTAGCACTCCGCTCTTCAGTGCGATGTGCGAAGAGCGATCGCTCAGCACACACAGAAACACGCACACATACCCATTTCTAATTGATTTCTCTTGAGTGTCTTTTTGCCCGACTCATTAAGCGATTCTCTTAAGAAATTATAAGAGTCCAAAAGCGAATGTATGTACGTATGAACGAATGTAAATACTTATAGATTATTGTTTTTGAATGATTCTGAGAACGGCTTGGCGTCAGTTTGTTGTTTTCCACGAACCTGAGAGAACTTGGGTTTCCGTTTCCACAGTTTTGTTTATATCTGAGTAAGGCCGGCTGTCTGGGTATCTGGGTATCTGGGTGCCTGGCGACTGCCCCCCTTCCATATGCCCCGACGATTAATTAGACGGTTAACCCATCGTTGACCGACGACAACTTGCAGCAAGTGAATAATTTAATCAGCTCAATTGAGAGTCAGAGTCTCTGGGGTTCCTTCTCTCTTTCCCAGTGTTTCTTTAATTGTAATCTAATAATTAATTTGCTCTTTCGCAGCCAAGATTGGAATATTCTATGTGGCCTTCTATGGAGTGCTCGGCGCCCTGGTGGCCATCTGCATGTGGGCCTTCTTCCAGACCCTTGATCCTCGCATCCCCAAATGGACCTTGGACGAATCAATTATCGGCACGAATCCAGGTAAGAGTTGCACCCTTAAATCGTAGCTTAAATACTGATTATACATTATATTAAACATTCATTTAGGTCTCGGGTTTCGTCCACTGCCGCCTATGGATAACGTGGAGAGCACCTTGATCTGGTACAAGGGAACACAGCATGAGAACTACAAACATTGGACAGACTCCCTGGATGACTTCTTGGCTGGTAATGTAATCTGAAAATTTACAAATAAGCACTTCTGTCTAATCGTTTCTAAATATTATAGTTTACAAAGTCCCTGGGCTGACCCCTGGTCGTGGTCAGAATATCTACAACTGCGACTACAACCAGCCGCCGCCAAAGGGTCAGGTGTGCGATGTGGACATCAAGTCGTGGACTCCATGCACAAAGGAGAACAACTACAGCTACCACAAGAGTGCCCCATGCATCTTCCTTAAGCTGAACAAGATCTATGGCTGGATACCGGAGTATTACAATGACTCCAGGGATCTGCCCGATTCGATGCCACTGAGCCTCAAGACCTACATTGGCGAGGTCGAGAAAACGCAGCCGCACAAGGTAAAGGAACACCAAATGCAAAAACCCTAGATCAAATTACTAATATTCGAACTTCTCCAACAGCTCAACACAATCTGGGTGTCGTGCGAGGGCGAGAACCCTGCCGATCAGGAGAACATTGGAGCTGTCAACTACTTGCCCGTACGTGGCTTCCCCGGCTACTTCTATCCCTACCAGAACTCCGAGGGATACCTGAGTCCTCTGGTGGCTGTTCACTTCCAGCGCCCCAGGCGTGAGTACTTCTTCTATATCCCTTTGAGGATCGCTGAGTAAATTGTTTGTTTCTTTTAGGTGGCATCATCATCAATGTGGAGTGCAAGGCCTGGGCCCGCAACATCATCCACGATCGCAAGGAGAGGATCGGTTCGGTTCACTATGAGCTTCTGATTGACTAATCTGGGATCACTCAGATAGAATGTTGTGAACCATTAAATGTAGGCTTAGGAGTGTAGAGGAGCACAGAACGGCAATCAAGAATCCATGACACCAAATCTATGAAATCAATTGCTATTGAATTAATTGTGAAACAGTCCCACGCGAAACAAAAACATTTTTTGGATAAACTTTTTACTAATGTGTAGTCATCTTTACACGATATTTTGAAATTTGAAAACTCAATAGATTATCTCAATCTTTCTATCAATCACAAGTAGAGTAAAGTCTTTAGATATCACAAATTTACTAAATTCGAATCTCTTCTTATACAGAAAATACATAGATATATTTAGCGAGAATGTAGTGTACCGCCTAAGAGATGAATTTAATGATTATGAGCAATTTTTTGCAATACAAAAACAAAACGATAAAGAGTTTCATAATAGTTTAAAAAAAAACTGAATGCCGAAATGGGAAAGAGAATGGACAAACAAATGGTAAACACCATTATTATTATACAAATAATAATAATAATTACAAAGGCTAGCCCCAAGTATGAATCTCATTTAGCGCTGCTGTTCAAATCAAATCCAAACTGCCATTTCAACACAAAAACTAACCATTTCTGGCAAAGAGATAAATAGATAACCCCTTTTAGATATTTACATTTCTTCTAAATATATAGAAAATGAATCTTTATTAACTGCACCAAAAAAATCTTTTTGACTACTTTACCTACTATACTATACATTTAATCGTAACCACAACAGACCAATTTTGTGAACCAAATGATCCTTTTAATATTACTTACGTATGTGGGTAGTTTCAGTGCAGATCATATTTTTAGAGAAATGTTAAAGACCCTCGCGCCACCCATTTAACATCACAAGCAAAACAAAGCAAAGTAGGAATTGATATTGGCAACAGACGAGTAGCAGAAAAAGTAACAAAAACATAATTTAATTGTAAGTTTAATTATTATCTATCTACAGAGAGAGAGAGAAACTGTCTGTCGACAGCGGCTAAGCATATTTATGACACGAAATCACTTCACAAATCGTTTTCAATAAAAATAAAATGAAAAAATAGATAAACCCAAAGATAAACTGTCGAATTTGCAAGGGCATGTTAAGGGGTCTCGTATTGTAAAGGAACACATCCATCATTGTAAACAAAAGCATTACGAAGATGTCAGATCTAGTAGCAGTATATCAGCATTAGGGTGCAGGACTTGTTACAGCCTAGTTAGATACCACTTGACTTATCCCAAGATTAAGCAGCTCCATCTATTTGGAGCACGTCTCATTACTGGCTGGTACTCAGGCCTGGATAGAATGTAAACTTTTTTTTTTTTTTAATTTCTAATGAAATGATTTTTTTCTAGAGTATGTTGGTGTTGGATATTTTTGTATATAGGTTGTTGGGTAACATTTTGTATTGGTTTTGTTGTTTGTTTTGATATGTTGGTGTGGGTGATGTGGATCTCAGTCACTCATGTTTAAGCCTGAGGACTTTATTGTGGGTGAATTGGTGTAAACCTTTTTTGCCTCGTCGGTCAATGGGGTGTCATGGGCGGAGATTAGGTTGAGAGAATATTCCTCAGCCCTTTCTTTTTCTTTGATATATATGGTTTTACAGGTTGGATTTTCCAATAGATACATTTTATCTATCTGAGATCCAGTCTCTCGAGTTGCAATATATGCAGCACACCTGATAACTATGCGGAGATTTTTCCGTGTAGCAAATCTATTTAAATAATTGTTGTTGTAAAGCCGGGCGTATATCCAGGTTCCTTGACTCGCAAGCTGATATGGGGTGTTGGCATATTGTAGAACCTCTGAAATGTCAAGGATGCTGTTTTTGACCAGGGATGTACATATTAACAGACCGAATTCACTATTTTTGATCCCCAGTTCCTTTGCGGCCTGCTCAAAGTATTTTATAGGAGCAAGACCAAACATGATCCATGCAGGATTCCATAAATGTTATCATCGGGCATTGAAGAGGATCGCTCTACAATGCCTATTCCTATAAGTATTGACAATAAATCTATGGATAGACTTCTATTTAAAAAGGCATTCCAGAGACCTGAAAGGGCGGCAGCACAAGGAGAAATTAGCTAATTTCTTAGATGCAGATATGAAAACAGTCATTATTTCTATGTAGCATCCTACAAAGAAAGAAACTGTTCTATTTGAGTACATACTTTCTGGAACAACCCATCCTGGAGGACCAGAACAAAAAACATCAATTGTGGGATCTCTAGAACCAAAAACAAGGAACTACTTGATAGAGGAATCAACAGAAGAAGAGACCTCGGATACGACAGCAAACATCCTTGCAGGGGAAGTCTCAAAAACCTCTCAACATGGAATCCCCACTGCCATTGCACCTGAGGACATTTTGTCAAAGGAAAATATAGAGGATTTTTGTAAGTAGAGTATAACCTCTCAAGGCGATCCTGCAATAGAAACAAACTATATGGTTGTGAACATCTTAGGATTTGTGTGCCTACATACTCTCAAGCTATTAACACGTACAGTCAAGTCGGTGCAAACATCAATGAATTTGAGGATGAGTAGTCAATATGCTACCATATATAAAAATGTTGCCTTTCGACATCAAACATTTTAAGTGTATGAGGGGTGTTGGCATATTGTAGAACCTCTGAAATGTCAAGGATGCTGTTTTTGACCAGGGATGTTAATATGTAATTTGGGTAATTTGGGGCGTTATCAGGAATTGTTTGTTTTCTTTGTATTCATTGTATGCCCGTCATATGGCACACACTGGATTTACGTAAGCGTAATCGTTTTGCCCGGTGGTGATAAGATAGCAAATGCTTCAAGGCACGTAAACTGTTGATAAAATAAAATCACTGCAATATCTGCCGTCACCTCGAGGAACTGGTCAGCGACCATTCGAATGGCCAACTGACAAAAAAAAAACTTAAAAGCCAGATTGATACGCTTTCACCCACCCTCACATATAAGCACATAAATATATTGTAGCCGTCGAGAGACACATTTATTGAGAACTTATCGGGCCGATTCGGCCAATTGCGTCATTGGAAATCATTAACAGAATGCTGGTGCGGCTGCGGTGCTGTTTGCTTTTTGATATATTGTTTATTTTTAAATTGCCAGGCGAAAGGTTTACTTTTGCATTTGTGCTAATCAATTAGGGGTACAAACTCATCAATGCGACGAACGAACACGTTCCCATTCACGCTATCGAGAGATAGAGAGAGGGAGAGAGATTCAATAAAACGTTGAACGCACTCGAAGTGTACTCAATCGAAGATCAATATTTGGCTGTTAAAATTGCCAGATGACCCAAAGTTTCTGGAGTCGATCGCCCGGATTTTTGTCGACTAACAGGTTTGCACTGGTACGGGCACCACCGGCACCATCAACATCTATCTGATAATGGTATTAATCAGTGTGCTAAACGAACCTGCAGATGGATCGATAGCCCAATAAAAACTGAAGGAGGGAGTAGCGATTCTATACACAAATAATTAATATTTGAAGTTCTTTGATTAGATAAAGTTGGTAAAATGATTTAAAAATGATTTGCTGGTCACAGAAGTCACAGTTTCCACATTGACGTAACAGCATTTGTAGCTTTGTGGCTTTTGTTTCAAAGATTCTACAACAATATCTGCGAAAAACTTTTTAAATTTGTACTCAGTGACGTCAATGGAGAACAAGAGCATAATGCTTGATCGCTTTTGTGTTCAGACAGGGTATAATCAATGGATCCAGACACAAACATATACATTCATACATATGTACGAATGTATCGAGGGGTATATTTTAGCAACCATCTAATTGAGAGCTAATTGGCTACAGAGGATTGTCCCCTCTCGATAGAGTACAGAAGACTGCAAATAATGACAGAAATCATTCGCTAAATGACAGAAATCAAAACTCATCTCTAATGAGGATGCTCGACGGGATTGAAAGATCTCTGTGCACACTGAGACTTGCACACCCACACCCACACTGACACACAGGAATCACAGCTGGAAAAATCACAAACACTTCAGTTCAGACCAGATAAACTGGTTTGCCCAGTACAGATACTTGGGCCATGGGAATACATATCTTCGGTTCTTGCTGTCTGCTGTAATTATCATTTGCTTAATATAGAGTTCAAATTCAAGTTGAGACTCCAGTACGACAAGGGAACTTCTTTCATTAAAAGGGGATAAACAGAGATTGAATACAACCAGATATAACCGACCTGTTGGCTATTATTACGAAGAACATTACTAACAAGCATATGGAATTTGTATGAGTAATTGACTCTCTTATCATACATATCTGATCTGAATCAGACAAAAGTAGCTGCTACTATTACGGGTTTTCATCTTATCAACTGCTGATTAGCATTTACAACCATCTCCCTGTCTAATAGACTTCACCTCTACTAAGCTGACAACTCAATAAACCGGGAAATGCGACTTACAATTGTTGCACCTAATGATGTGATGTGGTGCTGTTCCGACATGCTTTATGTACTCGCGAGTACACGGGCTTTGAGGGAGATAAAAGTCGTTGTCAAGCGCAATTTAATCAATTTATGATGATTACAAAGGGCTCAAGTATCCATCGAGAACAATCCCAAGGATACATTCAGGGGCTGTCTTCTGGAGTTGTGGGGGGTAGGAAATGCTCGTTTATGGGGATTAATCAACTCAAAAGTGTCATGACCTTTTCAAAAAGCTACTCCTAATAAAGAATATAATAATGATGATTAAGGAACAACAGAAAAAGCAGCACCTCACCGACTAAAAGTTTTCCTAGTGGTTTTCCATGGAAAATTTTCATAACCGGCCGAAAAAACGATCTTAAAAATTGCGTTTTGATGCAAGAGCAGTTGAAATCACAAGCAACAGTGGGAGGGAGCTAGCTGTACATTAAGCATAATGGAGAAGTGAGCACTCCCCCCCGAAAGCACAACTCTGCGAGAAACGTGGAGCCAATTTACTCAACTCTCCGCGCATGTCATAGTGGGGCAGCGGGAGAGAGCAGCAGGCAAGGCAGATTGAGAGCGAATAGCACTTGGATTAGTGTGTGTGTGTGTGTGTGTGTGTGCGTGAGTGTTATTCTTTGTGCTTTTTATTTTAATATTTACAGAGATGCCGTTTGTAATAGACGACAACTTCAGGGGCGCATTGCATCGGCTGAGGGATTGGGCATTTATGGCACCCCGCTGCATAGAGATCCGCTCATGGCAATTACCCCCTCGAACGTGTTGTTGTCTGGCCACTGTCTGAGCTCAATCATTTATTCTATTTGCGTGGCCACATTTCAGAGAGGAAGAGACAGAGAGAGAGAGCGTACCGTACCGTTGGCAAGGTAAAGCACCCACACTTGCACACTCAAATAATCTGACAGTAACAAACCACCCACCACACCGCACCACACCACTCCTCTAATCGGGAAGCTTTTTCTTTGGCCTTTTTTCTGTTGTTGCTTGGCAAAGTGTCGAAAACGTTCAACAGCTGTCAGCGTACACTGAAAGAAAGTTAACCAGATGAGCCCTTGTCGCCCAAGGAAGCTGGAGATATTATTGGCACAAACGACAAGTTTGTAGCTGAATAAAATAGGGTCATAGTCTGTACCCACTCGGAATGGTTAATCTTTCAGTAATATTACTGTTACAATTACTAGCCAGTAATTTCTCTCAGTGTTATCGCCACTCTTATCTTGGAGCTTTTTGTTGGGGTCTGTCTCCGCTGTGTGTGCTTGGTGGCGGTGGCAGTAGAGCGTAAGCGAGAGAGCGAGTGCCCATGAGCGAGAACAACAAAAGTGTTCGAGCAAGTAAAAAGCAAAGTAAAGACCAACGTCGGTTGCGTTCAGTCGGTGGCATTCATTTGGTGATCTTAACTCGAGAGCGCAACACGCATACGCATACGCA